AGTGATTTATTTTGATGGATGATAAGCATGAAGTTACAGACCGACAACAGTAAGTGTGTAGCAGGTAGAGTCAAGTGGGTTGTTTATTCTACGGTAGTGAGAAAATGAAAAGGATGAGAGAGCGGGGGAGGATAAAAGCGGAAAAAACCAGTTAACGTAACGAAATAAAGGAAATTTGTCTAAAAAAAAAAAAACTTTTTTGGACTGCACCTTTCCTAAGGACAATAAAAAGTTAAAAGAAACGATGTTTTTAATATTTCGTTGTTGGCAGCACAAATAAGTGAATTACGGGTTGACGAGCACAGGGCACACACACATACACGGTGACCCTACCACACACACAAATCAATTCAGTATAAATGTATGTATATAAAAAAAACGCACAAAATTTGTATACCTGAAAATTGACCGAACGTTAATTGACCACTTCACATTATGATATACTATCGCCCGTCAGAGAGATCAGTTGACCACCGACGATACATCCGGGTCAGCTCATCCTTCTTTTCTTTTTTTGCACTCTGGTCGAAAGTGGATTTTGTTTTTTTTTTGCAAGCGTTTTTGAATCCTTCCAAACGCTCGATGGGCGTGGGTCGTCGTCACTTTCTCGTCGGAATCGATTTTTTTCTGCTGAGAACGACCAGGTTGTTTTTAATAATAAAGTTGCGACAATCCATACGAAGAATGGAAGTGCGTGTGGAATATATCAATTAAAATCAAGCGATAACAGAAATGATTATTGAATGTAAATCAAAAGCCGACCAAATTGGAATAGATATACAGGACAACATTTCGTGATACCGCCTGTGCCCATATTATCCCATCAATTTTTCAAAAGGAAGGTTAGCTTTCCTCAGTCCACTAGCATCATGATTAAAGAGATGACCGGGAATCCTGAGGACCGACCTCGTCTTCACACGCACGCACAATCCCACCATTGACGGTGTACGCGATCCGAAACCTGGAAGAAGGTTTCATGCATCACCATTAACATTATTAAAATTTCCCTTCCAATGGGTGATGGGTGATACACACACCCATATGTACACATATTTACTGGTGTTGTACTCCAGGCGAGGGTGTGAGTGTGTGAATTCTTTGTCTGATCAACATTTCCATGGTCGACAGACTTTTACCAGAACAAAGACAGTCGGAGTAATAAAGATTATCCGCTCTTTTTCGATTTTCAAATGTAGTGGTTGTTGACAAGTTTATACGAAGGGTGTGAATGGATGATACACGATGCTGTTGTGCACATTATGCACCTTTAATACATTGCCGGCGAGGGATTGAATGGATTTACGGGGTTAATGGGACATGGGAATAAATTAATTTAAGGGAAGACGATAATTTGAGTAGCCAGCATGAGTGACACACAAATTGATCTTTTAAATTGTGAGGGAGCGTCACAGCAAGTTTATTAGCGATCATTGTATGAAAACAGGGTCGTTGAAAGTCTGTGTGCAGTCTACATTCGGTTTTGTTTGTGTCATGATTGATTGATTGATTGTTGTGGGTTACTTTGTCCTTGTTAAAGCAAAGTGGAATCCAATCGACACATGTCCAGCTAGCACAGAGTCAGCCGAACCAGTTGGGGCTGAGGAGGGAAGGAGAAGGTAGGAAGGAAGACATGGTCTACGTTCCCCAAGGACGATTTCCAACATCACGACGACACTCGGGTCATTGGAAGATGAGTCCCCCGCGGGTTCGCTCTGGTGTGCACACCATCATTCCACCACCGTACGTTACACAAATATCTAAATAAATAAAAATCTTCACCTTGAAATTCTCACAGAGCGATATCGTTTTTCCGGAAGATTTATGCATTTTCAAGGGGTTCAGATGATCGACTCACGGAATCATGGATGAAACATTGTCCCGATGAGGTGAACGAGGTGAATTCTCATGAATTCACGCTCGCTGGGAAATACAATTTATGCATCCTCGCGACAACGCATTTTCCTCCATATACAGCACACATCGATCCCATTTGTGATCGAAAAGAAAAAAAATTGAACACATAATCACACACACACACACACCCCACCAAGCAAATCCCCTGTTCCATTCATTCATCTATCTCATGCCCTCAACCCATTATTACGTACGCATTTCCTCAGCATCAATAAATGTCTGCACCCTGTGCACGTACGTAGACATGTACTGTATATACTACTGTAGGTATGCAGATGAATCAATGCACGTTGTGCGCATTCCTACGTGATTAACCCACTCATGATCACCACATTCATTCATTATCTCTTCATATTATCGTATTGTATGCCATAACGCTACCATAACGTTCACCTTACCCATGATAGACATCGGGTATCCCTCATTACTGATGTTTTTTTCTTTTTCGGATGACATCATTTCTTTATCGTAGAAAACGGAATCTAACATCGCACCGAGGAATCGAACGAGAGACCGAATGAGTGGACGGTCAAGAACAATTTGCAGACTCCCAAGACGTTCATCAAATCAGTTGATGCGTTTGTACCCCTCAAAATTTCATTTTAAATTTAAGAATTGCACAAGCGGACGAAAAACTCAATTACATGGTACACCGCATTGTGCCATGGGTGTATACTAATTCAGTATTAATTTTTTTTTTCCAACAAAAGCTATGATATTGGTGGCGCACGCCAACACTCCAACGATGGACAAACTCGAACACCGGTTACCGAATAAATTCACACAAATCAATGTCATAACATTTGAGTCCAGACGGTACTGATCTCCATTTGTACTTTTGGTGTGTTACAGATAAAGAGGAAAACTCGCGCTCGCGCACAAGATCATTAAAGAAAAGAAAACGGATCGACGCACCCTATCACACACACATTCACACATTCACACATAAGCAATAATACCTCATACTCCTTCCACCGCCACCAGAAGACATGATGCTTGGGTCAAAAGGTGAGCGCACAAGGGAATGGACCGGTAACAGAGTATGAGATCAAAAACGGGCCTAACCTTCCTTGTTTAATTTCTTGCGTTGTCAAATTATGCGGTGATAATAAAAAAACCGTTATTTATTGTTGTCGATTATTAATCACGAGATCTTGGTGTCACCTAACCAATTTAAAAGCTTCGAAAAAATAATAATAATATAATAAAAAAAAATAATAATAATGACGACGATGATGATGGTGATCAGTGGGAAAGTCGGGGAAACTCGTTTTCCACCAAATCGAGAGATAATTTGATCATTCCACTCGCACACACACATTCCAAAAGCAATCAATCACACTTATTGTACTTACACATCGATATAAGGTGTTCGTGTATAGTGTGAAATGTGTTCTTGTGCGCCATCAGCACCCTAAACCAAGACATCGTAAACAAAACTGTTTGTATGATGATATTCTATGTACGTATAATTTTTCATTCATTAATTTATGTGTTCATTGGCGAAATTGCACAACATGATTTTTCTAGTCATGTGCGTCCATATAGGAATTGATATCAGGCTCGTCTATATAAACTCGGTGACACAAATCGTCAAGGAATTGCGTCCCAAACATCATCTTCCATACCCATTTGGATTCATTCATCCATAGGAGTGTCACTCTGCTTCACTCTGCTCTGCTCTGCTCTACTCCAAAATTTATGCGTCACCGCGATCGACCATTTCTTCCATCTTTCAACGCTTGCACGGAGGGCAATGAGCGTGACCGGTTTTGACATTTTCGGAAAGCTCGATCACATGACATACGTAATGGGCAACATTTTGTTGCATAATGAGACAATAGGCTACCTCCCTACCAAAAATTATTGTGCTCGAACAAAATCATTATTAAAAAAAAAAAAAAAAAACTGGTGATGAATTTTTCTTTCTTTCCTTCTTTTTTTTTGTGTTTCTATTTACTCAACTACATCATCACCACACACACCACACCACACGCCAATTGTTAAAGGTTAAAGTGGCAAAATCTCGTATCAAATGATCATGGGTATTATGTATTGACGTTATTAAAAACTTGATGAGATTCCTGATTCACTCTTGACTTACATTTTCCCATTTCTGTTTTCGACGGTCCTATAGCGCTAGTGCTACTGTGCACTAGCGTATCGTCCCGATTTATCCCAATCGAGCGTAAACGGTTAGTGTTGTAGAAAGGGTGTAACATGATGGTGACCGACGTGCAGAAAACATCTTGATCTAGTAATCGGGCACGTGATTCGCACAGGGAGATAGATTCTGGGAGATAAGGAAGGATGTTCGTGTTTATATTACGACACATTCCGCAGATTTGGTCAAGTGAATTTCGTCGATTGCGTTGTGGGTTTGGCTTGCGGCGAACATCATGTTGACATCCGATATTTGGTCTGAAATCATCACCGAATTTGGAAGTTCCAGAATAATCATGGATCGGGTCGCTCATTTCTCTAATTTCCTTAATGACGTGTTACAAACAAAAATTGTAAATGAAAAAACTGCATGAGCGAGACGATGATCGAGATAACATTTGATGTGCGAGCTGTACGATTCATCGGTATCGTATCTCCAATGTTCCATCAATTCCTCGACTTTCTTCGTCTCATGCGCACACGCACCCCAAAGTTGTTTTTTTTTTCCTTTCGGCACCATCAATCCCACGAGGTGCATCTTCCGTCCTTCGCCACATCTCACTCTCCCAGGCCATCACGATAACGTTTTCTCGCGCGAACACAAGGATTTCCAAATGAAGAACGATTCTGCTAAATTAGAACGAAGATCGAATAATAAAATTTCTTAAATATGAGATAATGAGAATTCCATAAATGTACGTTTTGGTCGAAGGGTAAGTGAGATGGATATGCGTATGTCGTACACCTTATGCACTGTCGGATTGTCGCATATGTGCTATACGTTATGCTTAAATCGTGTGCCGTGTGTGTTAGCTTGTCTGATCCCGTTTCGTCAACTAAATGTCGTCTTTTCTGAGGTTTACCGGTTTTTTTAATGTTCATCAGGAAAATCAAGGTACATACACAATATGTTTTCCTACTGGCAGGACATGATGAGATTTGCACATGCAAACTTATTAGCTTGCATCTCATCTGCCTTTGTATTCTTGTGTGTTCGCTCACACCCTTTACCATTCTTTATTTCTTATATAATTTTGAGTAGCACATGCGGTCTCAATTCCCATATACTGTATACAACATTTTACAATCGACCTTCTATTACATAATAAAATAACTTGGGGCATGGCATGATATGTGAGCGGGTGAATTTGCGATGTGTTTAATTGGCAAAAAAAAAACTGGTTTTTTTTCGCAAATGTGAAATCCTGCACTTGACTTTATTGTGTGATCCATCCAGACCAGGATTTTTTTAACGTCATGAAATATATTCACACACGGCAGTCACAAATTTCTCCAACGTTAATCCACTCAACACCTTTGTTATCCAATGGCGGACAACGAAAGTTTCCTTTTGAACGCCAGCTCAGTTTCAGTTCCTTTATATGGTTAAATGCGCATCGAAACAAGTTTTTCTTTCAGGTTCGGCACCTTGGTATTTTTCTATATTATTCGTTTTCGTTCCTTTGAGAACGGTTCACGAAATCAATCGTGCCACGTGCTATCACTCTATAAAATATGTTATTGAATCGTTTTCGAGCGTACAATGAGTATTTACGCCCACCTTCCTATCCGGTTTTTCGCATAAATATTTTCTAGTGTTTGCACTCTAATTTAGAATCTAATTTAATTAAGGATTCAACGTAATACTAAGCGTTAATAGAATTTTTAATGGAATTGGAAAGTTCACATTATTTTCATTGAAACAGCGATAATGTGACCAAACATTGAACTAGAATAGAAAACATTGGAATTATCATTGACGAGCTCCCTTTCCCGGAAATTGTCAACACGTGACCATTATGGATCTTTGAATGATTGTCCCCTCCTTCCCCCCACCCCACCCCACCCCACCACCCCCTCCAACCAAACCGCAAAAGCTACAAACGTGTTCGTCATGTGAGTTTGTTTGTTCTCCTCAATTCTCCAGCGTACCCGGGAGAACATTAAAAAAAAAAGGGTAACAATTACAACAACATTTCCTTATAGAATCTACGATTGTCACGGTTGCTTATTCTGGACTTCGGAATATGCATGTTGATGTTTGATTAGAGCTTTCATTAGATTTAGGTACGCATCGTAAGCCAAAATTCCGGAGATTTCTGGTCAAAAAAGAAATCACGATTTGATACCGACATTTTCTGTTTGCATGTGACTTTCATTACATCACATGGTGGTTCAATAATTTGGTGTAACCTTACCTCGACCTGGAGTAAGATTAAACATCGCATACATCAAGGAAGATGATTCGTTTCTCATGTATGATTACGCTCAAATAAGGTGATAAGCATGCGGACGTCCGAGCGACACAAGAAATTTTTCTCATTTTCAATCCTTCCTTCAAATCATTCTACCAATGATGGTCTAAACTGTTTTTGTCGATAAATGACCTGAACACCGTTCTTTATAGGTACTTACAAACATTGGTAAATGACCCTTGCTTAGATATTATGCATACAAACAAGAACTTTGATTTTCTTTATTAGTCAACTTTTATAATGCGACTTTATTTGATCCCAATTTACTATCGGAAAGAGACTCATTCATTTAATTACCTGATTCTCTTATATACACCCTAGCTAGTACGATATTTTTTATATTATGTACATGAAGTTACACTCATTTGTGAATATACCGGAATCTCATTCACTCCCCGAATCGGTTGTCCCTCCCTGAATTTCTGAATCTTGTATTATTCGTGCTGTGGAAAACACATTTTTCCCTTTCGAAAGGTAGGTACCGGAAGATCAGGAAAAAAGTTTAACATATCGTCCCTTTGAACAAATTACACTGTACGACGAACAGAAAATTTTGCGTTTACACAAATAAAGAGTTCCTCTCGAATGATGTGGGAGATCAATTTCTCTGATTTTTAGCGGTCGTGAAATCCGATCTGTCCTCTTCCTCTGAATTGTGAAAGAAAGTTCAGAGACGATTACCACTGGTGTTTAGGAATTCTTTTTTTTTTTTTTTTTTTTACACACAATCAAGTGCAACTAACCCCACGAAAACATCTTTCCAGAAGCATTGCCACTTGCGATAAAGTTAAGCGTCGGATGGAAGGCGTTAACAGCTGGATGCAAAATTTTCCGTTAAAAACGATCTCAAGAAACAAACGATGAAGGGATTTTTTTTTTTTTTTTTTTTTACCTGGTATGGTGGTCAACTGTTTGTCACGCATGTTCCATATCAGCTCGCCATTGACACCCGAGATTATGTCGGCTGATTTTCTCATGTTGCCGATGATAAAGTGAGGGTGAACATTCGGATTCGGGTTCCATGTTGCACGAAGCATGGTGACCCACCTTCCCGTTTGGTTGTCGTGGGGGACGGTCAAGCGTAATTTCAATTTCCTCCCGTCCAGGTCGAACACTCTTACCGTATCGTCGAAGCTGGTGGAAACTACCTGATCACCGTTGGGACTCCAATAAGCACTCGTGACCGAGTATCTGAAAGGTATCTCCTGAATGTGAGTGTCCTGATCTTTCAGATTGCGGACATCCCAAAGCCGAAGAGACTTTTCCAACGACGAGGTCACAAGGAGTTCTGGTTTGATCGGATTGACCGATACGCATCCGATCTTTTTATCGTGAAGAGTGTATCCTCTGTATGTCTCGATTGGTTCTCGAAGGTCTTTTATGCCAAACTTGCCTTCATTCGTCGAAAAGTACATCACTTTGGAACTAGGATGAAAATCTATGCAAGACAATTGATCCCGGGACACCAATGCTTCCATGAACTTTGCCTTATTGAGATCCATGTAGCGGATTGATCCATCATACGAGCATGTAAAAAGTTGGTTGGAATCGATGGGTAAATATTTGGTGGAAATTATGGTCTTTGTGTGCGCCTCGAACATGTATGTTCGCGGCTCATCGTCGTCGTTGTCATACTCCGATTTCACCTTGTCCTTGACATCCCAAAAACCCAATGAGCCAACCTTGTCCCCAGCAGCAACCAATATTTTGTCCGTCGCAGGATGAACAGCCATGCAGTAAATCCTTTCCGGAGTTACGCTAACGGATGGCCACCGTAGACCCATGATTAGTTTCTTGTATACTGACCGAACCGATCGAAGTCCTTGCTCACCACCCACCACAGTGCTATAATCTATGTCTTCATTTTTTATGCCCTCAGGCTCATTACCTGTCTTGAACTTTGTTAAATCCATTAAAACACCCAGGAAATGCTTTGTATCATCGAGTGACATGTCCTCCGAACGTACGGAACCTAAATCAAGATCGCCCTCCTTTCTAACGCGTTTTTCCGTCGTTACCTTCACATTCTTTGTTTCCTCTTCGGCTTTTCTCTTAGCCTCGGGACCATCCGCCTTAAAACCTTGTATGCGTAGGGATTTACGTGTTGGCAAACTAGGCTCTTTTTTAGGAAACTTTTGTTTCGGTTTCGGTTTTGACTTGGGAGTGGTTTTCTTTGTGATAAGTTCAGGAATATTTAACTGCCTGAGTATCTCTTCATTGCGACGTATGTTTTCAAGTCGCTGTCTTTCACTTTAGTGGACGTAGAAGAACGAACGTGTCATTCCTAAACGATTGCAACAATTCTTCCAATAGTTACGATAAACTTGCGATACTTACTAGGCGTTCAGTGTTGACTCTCCACCCGTGTTCATTTCGCCCGTCGAACGAGAAGTAATTTTGTACGGATAAAAGTTTTGAAATCGCGTAAGATTTGTTTTGAGGCGATGCGAATAGCTTTCCAAAAATATGTGGCTGGTGATGTCATTTGTACAATTTTCTTGCTTATTAATAAAATTTCAACTTTAAGTATTTTAAATTAATATTATAATTTAAATAATAATAATAATTGTATTAAGACAATAAATTTATAACAGTTTGCTTTGTACATACAGTATATATGTTTTTGAAATATTTTGTTTTTTTATATAATATATAGTATCAATTTTAAATGATTTGAGCAATCGAAATAATTTATTTTTTTTTTAAGTCGATATATACAATTTCACTCCTTGGAACCCTTACCTTTTCTTCGGTATTCTCGATGCTTGTGTTTTTTTTATCCATATAATTAGTCTCGGAATTTCGGTTTATGCACAATTGTGGATTTTCATAAAGTACAAGACTGCTCTTATATACGCAAGAGTAATGGGTTATTTTTTTCTTGATGCGTTGACTCAATAAAATATTTACTATATATGTCGATTCCTTTGGAGTTATTATATCACGATTATTATTTCATAAACTCGTAATGTGATATCGATCTCACACTTTTGAATGTCACTCTTTTTTTTTTATTTTTTATTTTTTTTACATGGTAAAGTGTTAATGGACAGAATGTATCTGTATCTCAGTCTCTTCACCATATATTCTTATTTGTGAATTTATTCATTGATCTCTGGTTCCATTATCGTATCCACGTGTGTGTTTGCATTCCACTCGTTTGTTTGCCGGATAACTTAATACCTGTACGTCACGAATGCACAGTTCTGCATATACTGACTCAAACGCCTGTATTGAGACGTGATCTATTGCATCGTTTTGAACCCAACAACACATACACGACTGGTTTTTGGGAGAAAAGTTTCTATCACCGATCGAACAATCAAACCAGAACCTTCCAGAATCTCTTTGTATACTTAAAGAATAGATTGGAGTGGGTAATGAATGCAACCGACAGAATTCAAACAAGAGTACGCAAGGTCGGCGTTCCCAGAATGAAGCACTCTTTTTCTGATGGTGGATCCATTGTCGTTCGTGCTGCTGATTGATATCAGATGTTGGACAAATCCTATTATCGATGACAACTTCGTGTTTACACTGTGCCTGTTTGTTCGTTGGAGATCCGGGAGTCTCGTTAAATTCTATACACAAGACTTCGAACGCCTGAATCGAGACGTAATCTATTGCATCATTTTCTACCCAACAATTAAAACATGATTGTAAAGGGTTGAAATATCGATGTCCAACAAAACATTCGAACCAATAAGATTTGTTTTCTCCAACCGTCAAGCAATAAACAGGTTCATGAAGTCTGTGAATACGCGAAAAGTCTCTCAAGAGCACACAAGGACGTTTCAGCCAAAATTGTGTCCATTGTTCTGGAAACGAGTTCCATATAATACGTGTGTCTTGCGTAATATCAATGGATTGCATCGCGGTACTGATAGAATAGTATGTGTTTCCTCTAAATAATTCATCTAAATCTTCGCTTCCATGAATCGATAGACTGACTGGTTGTTGAAAAATTCTTTCCTCTGTATTTTGCTTGTCTGATTCTTCTTGAATTGCTACCTCTTTATATAACTCATTACGCGTAGCCAGAGGAGTAAGATTAGCATAGGAGAAAGATCGAGTCCTTGATTTTTTTTTCGACGAGTTTTTCCCTTGTATGTTGCATTTCTTGTTCTTGACTAACTCGGAAATGGTCGATCCGTAACTTTTAATTTTCTCTTGATGCAACGTGATAGCCACCTTATCATTAGTTATTTTATTATTATTAATATTATTGTTGACTTTCCTGACTTTTCCCGATGATTCATCCCATGTCCCAATCACCAATGTTTTGTCCGGCTCTGTATGACGAAACACGCTATCTGTAAGGCTATTTTCGTTCATTTCGTGAAAAAGGTCAGAGCTCCATTTATCAAAACCAGAAGGTTTTGGAAATGTTACATATGGAAACACGCAAGCCGAATGAGTTTCTTTTTTTTCATTTTTCGCGATTTTCTTTGAAATACCTTTACTGACGCGAGTATCTTTTGTCGAATTTGACTTTGAGGGATTACCAATTTTCGGAATAAAGGGCGACTCGCTAGGCCGAGGTTTTGGTGGCAAACTCTTTACTGCATGTAGTTTACGTGATCTTTCTACACTTGTTATGTCTATTTCATTTAAGGGCCCAAGTTCTCGGGTGACTTGCGGAAATGCCGACTCGACATTTATTGACACCGCTTCTTTTTGCATTTTTCCGTGTGTCACGTATGGTAGAGCATAGTTGGAAGGCGTTAAGTCTTTAACGGAAGATTGATATAGGAAAGGAAGCATCTGAATGAATATCTGTTTACAACTTTTTATGCACTAACCTGGTAAGTGAAATAATGCAAAAAAAAAAAAAAAAAAAAGATAACGATTTATTTAGTTTTTCTCCGATTTGATCCGATAACGTCGTCAACCAATCAATAACATTTGAATTCACATAGCGCCAGGTCTATCATCTTTTTTATATCATATTTAAAAACATTATTTATCTATTAAACCACGATTACAATTAATGTTTATTATTGTTCATTAACAAGTTACTAGTTACATAGTCATACTTTGCTATAATAACAAGGGTGAATGTATGTCGTTCGTTTTATTTGGATTCCTATTTCTATAAAGTTTGCTAGAAACTTGAAAATATGCAATATTGAGGAAAAGAAAAAATGTTCGATTTCATGCAAGTTGTCCCGTTTATATATGCGTGGTAATATAATGCTTCCAACCGTTTAACCGCCAAAACCGTAAAGAGTGCGTCCTTGCCTTTTGAGGGCATATACTGTAATCGAGAACGAAGAATCTTTAGTGAAAATCATTTTAAAAAAAAAAAAAATTGATATGGATAACCCATACTCACCAACGTCGAGAGAGGTTACCGTCTTGCGTTTGGCATGTTCTGTGTAGGTTACGGCATCTCGAATTACATTTTCAAGGAAAACTTTGAGTACACCTCTGGTTTCTTCGTAAATAAGTCCTGAAATACGTTTTACACCACCACGACGTGCGAGACGACGGATAGCTGGCTTGGTAATACCCTAAAAAATTTACATAGCGAAAGGTCAGATATAAATTTTTGGTTTTTGTTTAATAAAAGATCGACCGGAGGATATATTACTTGAATGTTATCCCGAAGAATTTTACGATGACGCTTGGCACCACCTTTTCCGAGACCTTTACCACCTTTACCACGGCCAGACATGTTTAATTTATAAGTGTTGGTTGTTGTAGTTTTTTATTAAAAATAAAGGAAGAAGAGCAAAGTACGAGAACACGAGCAGAGCTAGCTTTTGAAAAAAGTCAGAAAGGACGGAGACTACCCTTTTTATAAGATTTGCCATTATTTTGATTGGATCAGGAAACGCGTCGATTCATTGTTGATTTTACTGATTTAAAAATCGCGTCAGCATCCTAGACATTCCCAAAATGGTCATCAGGTGACGCGACTTGGATCAAAAATAAAAGATACGCGTAAACATAATCGTCATGATGTTTTGTGTAACATCGCATGCGTAATTACGTGTACTCCCATTGCCATATATTACAATTTTAAAATATATTACCGTAAACCACTGCATACAATACCCCTGATTAATACCCGGGGTACTGTATGCAGTGGTTTACGATAGATACGGGTAATTGTTTTCGAAGGCGGACAGGGATTTTTTGTATCCTGTGATTGTGATCCTAAAATTTGCATTATGCACGTACCGTTTTGAAGGTAGGAGTCGAGATAATTGCCATATACATATTTCAATCGTAATATTAATTTTGTTTTTTAACTAATTTTTGTAGTTATAATATATTTCATTATTAATTATATATTAATTAAATAGAATTTCGCTTAAAATTTTTTTTTTAAAAATAGAATTAAGATAATACATATATACAGTATATGATAACAAAATATTTTATTTTATTTTATTTTTTAGATATATATTTTTTAATATAAAAATTTTATTTAATAAACTATTTTGAATTCTGCTTTTTAATTTGAAAAAATTATATGAAATCAAAAAAATTATTATGTGAATTAATAAATAATAATAATTATTATTTCTTTTTTTATACAATTGAAGTATGTTTTATTCACAAGTTAATATTTTAATTTGTTAATATTGTAATATTACTAGTTGTTTAAAAAATATTGTTATTTTATTTATATATTTAAGCTTTTTGTACTTTAAATTAATATGTATTTTAAAAAAAAATTATTTTGATTTTATAAAGTAATATAGTAAATAATTGAAAATAATTTATTCTATTTTTTTTATTATTAATTGTTTAATAAAAAAATAATCTTAATAATATATTGTTGAAAAATTTATATTTATTTTTAAAAAATTTATTCTATTTTTTAAATTTATTTTGTTTCATTTTTTGTAATAAATAAATATTGTTTTTTATAAATATAAAAATAAGCTATTAAATTTTTTTTAATAGTTTATATAATAAATTTTTTAATAAATAAAATTTTTTAAAAAATTATTTAATCAATAAGAACAAATTACTTTATAAAAAATTAATTAAGAAATTTAATATTTATTAAAAATTATTTTTAAAATAAAAATAATAATAATTTTTTTATGTTTTTATATTTTAATTAATATATAGTATATGACAAAAAAAATTGTATTTTTTGTTATTATTATAATTTAATAAATAATAATTCAATTAATATAAAACTTCAAATATATATTTTTTTAAAATCTAAATAATATAATATCAAAGTTTTTTTGATAATTAATTAATAATTTTGGTTTAATTTATTGGTTAAAAGTTAAAAAATATTCTTAAAATAATTTTTGACTAATATTTATATATAATTTATAAATGGAAAATACTATAATAATTTTTTAAAATAAATATATTATAAAATTCAAAAAAAATATTTGGTTTATAAAAAAATTATA